ATTCAGCACACGCAGCATTCAGCGCAAATCAATGAGATGTTAAACTGTCAAAGAGGACCTTTTTCTCTCTTTTTTCATCATTCACAAAAACATCACTATTGTCTTGGTCCATCTAAAATCAAAAAGCAAATGCACTGGTTTACACTGCCTGTTTACACTGGTTGGTTTCTGCAGGCGTAGAATAGCAAGTCGTCGGCGTATAGACGTGGAAAATCGCTCCAGCTTAGCAAAATGCTAACACTTAACTTCTTAAACATCCTCTCAGATTTAAGGAGCTCTATAAATCCATGAAACGCCTCATGAGACATTTTTTAATGATTGTAGAAAATATCATCCATGAAGCACCATGAACCAGGAAAAAGGATTCATGGCCTCCCTGTGCTTTTTACTTGAATCTTGTTTCCTTTCATGGCATGTAGCAGTGGTGCTAACCACAACAGAAAGTTCAGAGTTCCTTTAAAACCATTTCTTTGACTTTTTTACCAGCAGGAGATTTTCTTTCTGTCCCTTTTTATATGTTATAAAATATATCGGACTGTTGTTACTGGAGAAAAGCTACTCATGTTTATGCAGCTACAAACATATCAGTGGGTAAATTGTAAGGGTTTATTTTTGAGGAATGAACTTTAAAGGAACCTCGTGTCTGATTGGCTCTTCCTCCTCTGAACATACATGTGATTAATAATGATTTCAGAGCTTCTCTTAAATGTTACATAATAGTCAGTATTTATTCTCACCTTTGACTTTGTGTTTTACCACGGCACGCACATCAAACGTATTTTAGTTATGACCAAATCAGAGTGAAAATAAGACGGCAGCCTCTTTGTAACTAGAAAAAAAATTGGTGAATGTTTATCGGTGTGGTGACAGATTACTTACGACTGCACGGGTCACCTGGTGAGGGATACTTAGGCTACGTTCACTCTGCAGGTCTTAATGCTCAATTCAGATTTTTTGATCAAATCCGTCTGCGTGTTCATACTACAAATAAAATGCGACAGCAAACGCGCTCTAATGCATAAGATCCAAACTTGTAATTTGAACTAAA